CTATCTATCTATCTATCTATCTATCTATCTATCTATCTATCTATCTATCTATTGACGCAAGCATCTTTAATAATGAAATCGGCTAGTTTGAAAACTTCTAGTCTCTGCTGTAAAAACCACCACAATTATCCCAAAGGTTGTCACATAAACAACATATTAAGTTATCAAATGCTCAACGTTGCTCCATGTTTTGATTTATAAAACCTTTGTCTGGACTCGCCATGGGAAATGGCATTTCCGAGCTCTTAAAAATTTCTTGCTGGGCAAGCCCCTGGTCCCTACTAGTCCAACTAGCGCCTTTGGCACGCGCTGAACTTTGTCTTTGGTGCATACTCTATGGAAAATGCACGCTATACTCCCGTGGGTTCTACGCTTTACTATATAAAGGGAGAATTTCATTTCCAATTGAGAAGCAAAAAGACTGACTGCTGGCTCTTCTAAAAAGTGGTTATCATGGATCTCGATCGAAGGACTGACTTGATGTTGTCTTGTCAAAGAAAAGGTGAGGATTCTTTTGGAATTTAATGCAAACAGAGATAGGATATGAAAATCCACTAAAGGATTGCATGCAAAGGAACTTGACAGGCTTGTTTTGCCTAAAATCTAACAGTGTGCCTGAGAGTTTTTGGCCTGTAGGTTGTAATCACTTCTTTAAAAATAAAGAAGAACAAACTTAAACTAACCAGTAAGATTGACTAGGCTTTCTCTTAATATTTTATTCAAAAGTATACAGCTTATACAAGAGAAAATGAGGGGAGAGAACACATCCTCGTGCCCTATGATAATCTTTTTCAATCCCTTTTAAGCTTTGCGTCACGCTGTCAAAGTTATTTTTAGTCTCAGTCCCATGATCGCGCAGACGATGGCCAACGGTCATCGGGTCGCGTCCATCTAAATACGAAATTGGAAATCTAGCGGGTTAAAAGAAAAAATAAGTTTGTTTTGAACCACCGCACTGTTAGCATTGGAAATCATTTTCAAAGCGCCAGGCATAAAAATTATACGTGCTTCTCCGATCGATGTTAAAACAGAAGTCGTGTCATTCCTCTGAATGAATGATTAACACAAAGCGCCAAGACTCGAATTTCTAACCTTGCGTGAACCGCTGGAGACAGTTTCTTTAACTCTTGAGTCTATTGAACTCTTATCTGCCTTTAATAATATGCAGTAACAAAAGCCTTAACCTTTAAATACATAGAGGAGGGGTTGAATAGGGGTATGCAAATCCACCGATCCGTGCCTTTTTTCACCAAATCGGTCGATCCGCCAATATTTTCGTTCAAATCCGAAACCACAACCACATCCGGAAAAAGAAGTGTAAAAGTTCAAAGGTAAACTGGTAAATGTGAATGCCATTGTTACTTTCGCACAAATAGAAAATAGGGCAACCTGATGCTAGACGACTGTTACACAGGATAATTCCAATAGCAGTCTCACACCTGAGTTGTTCGAGAAAGGAAATAATTTGGATGAACTCATTAACATACCAACCAAGGCCGAAGAAAGATCTTTGATCCAAATTTCGCTTAGGATGGGAAGATCCGAACATCAAGACAGGCACAATCCGGAATCCGCGCCAAAATTCACAGCTGGTCCACGATTCACTGTGTTTTCAAAATCCGCGAATCCGCTCGATTTACTGGAAAATCCACAATCCGTGCGCCTTTTAAGGCCAAATCGGTCGATCCGAAAACCTATTCACCCCCCTCTACATACAAACTATGCTTAGCACTTGGTCTCAGTTTACGAACTCCGGGAAGGGAAGGTTTACTGTTTTCATGTTATTTTTTTTTGTTGCTTCATTCCATTATTCTCTCAAAGTATTCACCCTCCTTTCAAAGAGTTTTTGGAAAGCATTTCTACAACAAAGTGTCAACATCTTATCAAGAAAGCCTTAATTATCGTTGGTTTTCTTGAGTTCCTTCTCCTGCTAGAAGTGGTGCAAGATGTTGCCAAAGGACAGTCCAAAGGCTATAACTATACTGAAAAAGGCCTGGTACTGACGAGTAGCTGAACCTGTTGGTGTTGCTGAGCCTGCCGGTGTAGCTGAATCTGTTACTGTTTTGGACGGGCGATCTGTGGAAACTGAAGAAAGTGAAAAAAATGTTACCAGTGGCGGATCTAGAGGAGCCCCCCCCCCCTCCCTTATTTTGGGTTTAAAAGGAAAAAAATCACATGTATATTTGTATGTTTTTGTTGGCTACTTTGGGGGTTGACCCTGCACAAGACCTGTCAAAATACAAAAGGTGCTTATGTGTGCTCAAACAACTACCCAATAGAAGCATTACTATTACGTGATTCATGCATAGTCTATGAGCATTAAAAAAAAAGATGTGTGTGATCAAGAACGTTCCAACATAAATCTCAGCCTGTTTGTCTGCTTATTTGATGTTTACCGACCTTCCTAACCATTTCCCCCTATTAACTATGATATAGTCTTCTAAAATCAATGCTCAAGAGACTTTATAGCTTATTTGTGTAATCGTTTACCAATAAAATGATAATTGTAGACGTGTATAACCCTCCCACTGACTTATTGAGAAGAGAACTCTCGCTTTCGAGAACGAATTTTAAACTACTGTTCAACTGCCGCCATCAGGTTAAGGGTTAAACGAAGAATAAACACACAACACTTGTGAAACTGACATACCAGCCCTCATTGTTGAAAAGGACACCTCATCACTGGCTGGTCCTTCTCCGCCACAGCTGAAAGCCTTGATTGCCAGGTTATAGTTTGTGTCAGGGTTTAGTCCATAAACTGTTATCTGGTGGCTTTTGCTTTCTGTTACATTAGTAAAAGAAGCGTAGTTGGGAACATCACGTCTGTGCCTCTTTCCATTCAGTCTGCTTTCACTCCAGTAATAAATCTGCAAATTGTAAACACAAGGTATAAAGGATTTTCGTATTAAGGGTAATTATTAAGGGCAAATTTCTGTTAGCAGGTCTTCCATTAGGTTCTTACAAGCGGGGCTTTACTTTAGCTGAGGCAGTTACCTTCGAGAGATAATGTAAATAAACAGTAGGGGCAGGGGACGGACGGCAACAAGGCTGGTTTGTGTGCAGCCGAGCACATGGCGAGAGAAAAGGCATAGCGCATGGGAAGACTAGTGCCAGCTCTCGCTCCTCTTTTAGAGTTAAATATGAATAACTGGCTTTAATAAAGCTGACATGGACACAAAACTTCAGCAACTTCCAGTCACTCACCCTGTAGCCATCAGAACCTCCTTCTTTTAAATCAGCGACACGTGCCCACGAGACATTAACACTCTGGGCTGTAATTTTACCCACGGTCACGTTCTCTGGCTTTCCCTTGGGAATATGCGGAACAAAAAATGATTGTTCAATGGCACTAAATGGACCTACTCCTTCGTCGTTGGCCGCACAAATGCGAAATTCCCAAAGCTCACATCGACTGGGTTCTTGTACAATAAACATACCAACAGTGGGATCAGTGATATTTTGTTCTTCCCAAGCAAGCGGCTTGTCTGCGACTCTTCTGTATTGCAGCCTGTAGTGAAGGCCCGGTGCATTCCAATCAATCTTAGGCAATGGCTAGCAAAACAAAACAACGAAAAGACAATTTGGTATTTTTCAAGAACGTTTGCTTCGGTTTGTTTCCATTGAACACTGCAGAAGTTTGAAAGAAGAGGATCAAGAATATTCTATATTAGTATAAATCTACTAGCGTTCAGTCACGAATGTCGTTTTCTTATTGGTTACGCTACTCGTCATCTATTCTGTTGTAAATAGTGAGTAGCCTAGCAGTGTGCGGTTTTTAACCAAAATGACAGCTGTTTCTTTGCGTTGAATTTAAAGTGTCTGTGAAGAGAATTAAGGTAAAGTTTTGAACGACTAGTCAATTTACACTAACACAATTAGATTATTCGCTCGCGATTTCCTTGCGTGATAGTTAACTTGGGCTGCGCTTTCACTTGTTAGTAGAATTCTATTAGTATGCTAATGCAAATGCTACAATCTGATTGGCTGAGCTACTCGTGTACTATCAGCCATTATAGTTCACCACTAAATTTTCCCCGATTCTTATTGGTTTAAATTGATCACGTGATGCGATAGTTATCATCCGCGGAGAGACACTATCAGCCCATAGTACTCGTCCGTGAAAAATTTTCTGTAAGCAAGCGAGCTTATAAAAAAAAAAAAA